CGGGCCCTGCAGTCTCCGCTAGCCCTGGCACCAGATGGTGCTGCCTCAACGATGCAGACCAGTGGCATTTCTGGGCCTTGAAAAAGGAGGCCGTGGGTGAGGTGGCACAGGGGCCACGCTAGGGGTGAGTCCCCCGGGGAGCACGGTGGGTGCTCCTCTGGCCCCTCCCACGCATGGACCCCAGAGCCTCCAGATGGACCGAATGTCCAGCAAAGACTTAGGGGCGTTGCCGGCATCGGCTGCATCTTGGCAGGGCTAACACGGCCAAATGATGCCCTCTCCCACCAGGGAAGGACCCACATGAGCAGTCCTCCCTCGGACCAGGAAACCAGTGCTCGCGGCAAAGCCCTGAGCTCTGACGCAGACAGCAAAAACCAGGGGACTCCTACACCTGAGAAGGGCGACAACGCACTCGGAAAGGTTCACTTCGACCATTCGTTAGGTGCTAATCCACTTTCCGTGACAGGTTCGCTCCGGCCCTCCCAGGACCCGGAGGTGAGGAAGGAGGCAGAAACTCCTTTCAGAGCACTGCACCAACAGCCCAAGGGAGCGCCCCCTGCAGAGTCCAGACGGAGAAACCCTGCAGGACAAACGACCCAAGCCCTTCAACAGCAACGACCCAAAAGCTGCCAGAAAAGAAACCAAGATGGAAGAGGAGGACCACCTAGAGGTTAGGAGTCTTGAAAGACCTATCGACCCATTGCACTGTCTGCACCTGATTTTTGGTTTGTTTTTAGAGCTCTAGGCCTAACATGGGGCTTGGACTCACGACCCTGAGATCAAGAGTCGCGTGTTCTGTCGACTGAGCCCGCCAGGCGCCCCTGCGTGCCCCTGGATCCCGATCCCGATCCTGACCCGGACAAACAAACAGAATTAGGAGATGATTAGGGAAATGTGAACACTGACTAGCCTGACCATACTAAAGAAACAGTTGATTCTTTTTAGGTGTGACAGTGAAATCGCAGTTATGCTCTTCACAATTCCTTATCTTTAGAGATGTGCCCAGATATATTTACAGCTGAAAAGCTACAATGTGGGGCGCCTGGGTGGCTCAGTCCTTAAGCGTCTGCCTTCAGCTCATGTCACCATCCCAGCGTCCTGGGATCGACCCCCACATCGGGCTCCCCACTCCGAGGGAAGCCCACTTCTCTCTCTCCTGCTTCCCCTGCCTGTATTCCCACTCTCACTTTCTCTCCCTTTGCCAAATAAATAAATAAAATCTTAAAAAAAAAAAAAGGAAAGAAAGAAAAGCTACAATGCTTGGATTTTCTTCTAAACAACACAGCGTGGGTGGGCAGTGGGGGTATGGATGAGTCGAGACTGGCTGTAAGTTGGCAAACTACTGGCCCTGGTGAAGGGGGTTCCTTCTACATGTGAAATTCTCCACAGTGAAAAGGCAGAGATAAAGGAAAGGGCCACCACCCGAATATCTGGACTTCACGGGCCTGCACCACTAGCCTGTCGGAGGAATCTGACAGCGAGAAGCTGCCATTTCCATTCAGTAAAGCATTTTATCACTTTCAGATTTTTTTTTTTAATTTTTAAGCAATCTCTCCATCCAACGTGGGGCTCGAACTCACAACCTGAGATCAAAAGGCACATGCTCTACCAACAGAGCCAGCCAGGTGCCCCAGATTTTTCTATTTCCTAAGGCCGAAGCCTAGATCAGAGCAGGTCTGAAGATACCGGTCCACCCTCAGGGCCCTGTGGAGGGTTTGTAAAGAATTGAGCCCACTACCAGACTAGCCCAGCCATCCTTCCCCACACAAGCAGGGGCCTCCAGGACCCACGCTTCCGGACTATCTGCGACCACCCACCTTAGGGCCACCTCTTTGGATGGCAGAACATCACCAGGGATACACCTCTCTTCCCCATGACAGTGCTCTCTGACCCTGCTCTTCCTCAGCATCCCCTCCTAAATGGGACAGACACATGGCGAGATTCCTTCCTAGCAGGAAGGCTAGCCCTCTGGAGGCCGGAACAGACTCTGGGTGGTCTTTGGGACCCCGCACACTGGGAGTGGAGCTCCCGACATCACACAGCCATGTCCTTGATTCCTTTTCCAACCACAGCTCCTCTTAAAGCTTCATGTGGGCAAAACAAGAGCACCAAGGGCCATGGATGACGACGGCACTTGCAGGTGAAGCGGCGCTCCCTAGCTTAGTACCATGTCATACTCTCTTGCCATCAAACCCGGCACCACGGCCAGACCGGGTCCTTGGGACCAGTTTTAAGGAAAGAAAGGTACTTCCTTTAGAATCCACAGCAACTGTGAGCCCTTGCCACCCCAGACCGCCTTCCCAGGTTCCAGTGGGAGGAACAAGTGGCAGGCTGCTGAGGGCGTCGGAGTGCATGGGCATGGAGAGGGCTATGCTGTCCCATCGATGCTGTGTGGGGATTTAGCCAGAAGACATCTTCTAGCAAACTGGGGTGGCCTGGGAGGAAAGCCGTGCCTGCTCCTCGCATCTTCGAGACATCCTCGAGACCATCTACCCCGGGCCCAGTGTGGCCCGTGCTCCAATGACTCACCCCTGGTCCTGCAGCGAGGCACGTTTGAATTAAAGCAATTCCAGCAAGAAATCCTACCTTCGTTGAAATTATCTGGAGTCCAGAGAGCCGGAGTAGGGATGAATTATTTTAAAATGTCCTCAGTTCTCCACTCAGCTTTTGTCAAGGAACTGGACCTCAGCCGGGACAGAAATGGCTTCGGCCGCATTCGATGGGGCATGAATTCTCTCATATTCCTGGGCAAATGATCTCATTATGGCTGGGGGGCGGGCAGGGATGCCTCCCTTCTCCCGACACCTGCCTGGTTAGTCCAGGAGCCAGCAGGCTGGCCACAAACCGTCTCCTTCATCACACACACTTCATCCTAACTCAGCCCATGCTGGCAGCAGTCAAGAATCTAGCCTAAAATAAAAGAGGAAAGGGAAACAGCTCGGCTACAGGGATCTAGCTAGAGAGCAGGGCAGGGGGAAGCCAGAGAAAGATGAATCCTGATTTCCATCTTAGAGGCCCCAGTGCTGAAGTCAGAAGGTACCGAATCCCCTCTAGAAGGTCTGCCTGGCAGACATAAACTCAAGGCTCCAGGCTCTCCCGAAGCTACAGCACCAACAGGCAAACACCCTCCCCACTCTGACTTGCTGTGTAGACAGAGAATGAGAGGATAACTTTTCAAATTTTTCTTTAGTTTCTTTTCCAGAAGGAAAAAGAGTGAAGAGAGGAGAGGACTGGCGGTTGCGCATTCTTCATGGGGGGTCATGAGAGTCACACAGGGCCAGGTGCAGGCCTAGAAAGATCCATGGAGGGGGCAATGGCTTCCAGCCAGGTCAAAGGTGAGGGGGTTTGTTCGCTGCTTCCAAACAACCACCAAAGCCACCTCTCATGAGAGAGAATGTGAACGAGCAGGGACAGAGGCCTCCAGCACCGCTTCTTCTTCCCCAGAGTTGCCCAGCATACAAACCCTCAGCGCTCATTCTAGTCCAGGTTACCTTCCTGACTCAGTGCTAAAAGCTCCCCAAAATTTCATGTCTGGATTAAGTCATACCCCTCCTCCCAACTTCCCAAACAGGCAAGTGAGTGACCACAGCAAAAAGTGAGTTGCTTTTCTTTTTTATGAATGAACAGGAAGGAAGACACACACACACACACACACACACTCACACACACTCACACACTCACACACTTACTTGCGGGGAAAGAACATTCACCAGAGTTGAAGTTAAGCCACATTCTGTTACATTTGCATAAAGAGAGAAAGAAGGGAAACAAGGGGGAAAAAAATACCGGAATGGTGGAAAGGAAACACACACACACACACACACACACACACACACAGAGAAAAAGGTTTGGTAGCCCTCTCATTACAAGTTGGTTGGGCATAATGTAAACACACTTCTGCCTTGCTTAATCACAGAGTGCCGCCCGTTTAGGTTTCAAAGGCGGCAGTAAATTGGGCGTAGCTGAGTGGAGGCTAAAAATTAACCAGCCATCTCTGTTTCAATTTGTAAGAAAACAAAAGCGGAAAGAAATTATAAAAAGGGAAAGGGTGGGGGGGGCGCGGTGAAAGGAACAGAGGAAGAGAACGGCACCATCCCGACCCAAAATGCTGGGTAAAACTGGAAAAGCAAAGAGGAGAACTGGAACTACTCGGGACACAAAAGGAAAAGGAAAATTTGCAGAGTTTTTGGACTGTTTGTTTCTCGCAGACCACCGCCGCAACGCCGCCCCGCCCGGCCCCGCCTGTGCCGGGGAGAGCCTCTGTGCTTCCCAGCAGAGGGGTGGGGGGCTGGGGGTCTCCCCACTGGAGCCAGACGGCGGAAGGGAGAGCGCAAGGAATCTCCTCCTTTTCACTTTCTGTGAAGTCCAAGGACTTTCCTACTCTTCGGCAGCCAAATCCCAGCCATACCAGCTCCCGCCTGGGCATCTGGGCCCCAGAATCTGCCCGCCTCTGCCTTCTCTCCTCTTTTCTATTCATTCTGGCTCCTAACCGGGGGTTTTACACGCCCCTCTCTCCACCGAACTGCTGCCCACCCCGCTTGCGCCAAATCCCGCTTTTCCCCAGGACTTAGGAGGAAGCCGCAGGAAAGCCAGCACCTGGCTCCCGATACTTCTTCTGACTCATTTTAAATCTCTGCAACGAGTGATTTTTTTAATGTGTGGTAATGTTCATCACCAACTCTCACCATCGTGGATAATTCTGGGGCAGCCTGGCCCCGGTCCTAAGACCTGCAGCGTCTTTTGGGTAAGATGAGTCCTCCAAAGCGGGAAACGCACGACAATCCGGTAGGTAGGGTGGCGAGGGAGTGAAGGAGGAAGAACGGGGAGGGTGGAGGGAAACAGAAGAAGGAAAAGGGGGCCGCCGCATGGGCTTCAGCCCCAGGCAGGACAGGCGCGCTAGTTAGGCCCAGGGCATGGTCCTTTGGAAAGAAGAGGCACCATACACAAAACGAATGCCCGCAAGTACACGAAAACGGGGAGTGGGGTTGAGAGTGACCTACCTGGAGTGTGGACAAAGTAAGCCAGATAAAGATCCAGTTCTTTGATTGTGACTCCAATGTGATGTGGCTGGACGCAGAGGCCGGGGTTCGAGCACTGGGGCGACTTGTAGAGCCGCTCCCCGTCAGTACTTTCCAGGGGGATCCCCTTAAACAAAATCACCATGACCAGGTCCAGCCGCCACACCTTGTCGGCCTGGCGCAGGCAGTCAATCCGCCGGATCTTGCCCTTCTGGTCGGGGTTGGAGAGCACGCAGCAGGGGGGCTTCTTGCCGGTGATGGTCAGCACAAAGTCCTCTCGGAACTCGGGCCGGATGTCTTTGCGCAGCTTGGCCAGCAGCCGGGATGCCCACTTCTGCTTGATCTCGGGCTTCTCGCCCAGCAGCTCGTCCTTCACCGCCCGCTCCTCGTCCTTCGACATCCGCTTCTCGTGCTTCTTGAAGTACTTGCGCTTCCGCGCCTGCAGGTTGAACCAGGTGTAGGAGAAGGCGCGGACGTGAGGCAGCAGCGCCTCGATGAACGGGTGGAACTCATCCTGCAGGCGGCAAGCCGGGAGCATGCGGGGCGAGGGAGGACGGGAGGAGGGGAAGACGGGGTGAGGGGGAAAGAGAAAAGGAGAGAAGAAGCGTTAGAAGGGGGGCACAAGAAAAATCGCCGCCTCCTCCTCCGCCGCCCCCCCCCTCCCACGACAATTTTCTGTCGTGATTGTTCTACGAAAGTGTGGTCTGGAGCCACCACCAGCCTGGCCAGCCGCTCGCTCCCATCTCAGCCTCGGCAGCCAGACAGAGGCACCCCGCGCCTGAGCACACACCTATTCTCTCTCTCTCCCCCTCACTCACTCACACACACGCGCGCACAGACAACGTTGCCGTCCACACACACACGCTGCTGGTATCCCCGCCAGGCTCTGTCGCGCCCATGACATCTCCATGTTCTGTCGCTGCCGCAAACTCCTGTCAGCTCGCCCCGACGCCGGATCCCGGCTGCCCCGACTCCCGCGGACGCGCAGGCGAGGCGTGCGGGGGCCGCCTCGTGTCCTGACACCGGTCGGCTTTTGGCCACCCCCAAAAAGAGAGAACATGACATCCAGGAGCCGGGCGAGGAACCGGATTTGGCTTTCCCCTCCCCGAACTGTTTGCATTCTCTTTTCTCCTGCTCCAATTGGAACATCCACCCCAGCATTTTTTTTTTAATCAGATCTAAATCCTAAATATGTGATTTCAGCTTTGTTACCGACACCGATACTAATGTTAATCACAGTAATAAGGAACAAAACACTTCTTGTTAGCACAAATAAGGTGGTTGCCTCGGCCACATTAGGGTTAAAAGCTACGTGGGGCGTCCTGCAGCCCCTTCCCCACTGACCCCTTCACCCTCTTTCCCACTCAGTCAGGTGACAGAGGGCTGGGCTCCCGCTTTTTGTTTTTGTTTTTGTTTTTTTCTTTTTGCTTGTTTGCTTGTTTGAAGTTTAAATAATAATTGATTTCTGTTTACAAAAATAAAACTGGAAAAAATTAAATAATTACCATTGATCTGAAGCACCCGGCAAAGCCCAACGCCCGATTCTGAGCTTCTGGACTCAACAGAGTTGTGAGTTGGGGGCGGGTGGGGGGAGGGGGGAGGGGGAGGAGCAGGGGAGGAAGGTAAATGTTTTAAAGGGGGTTATTATTGGTGTTCTGGGGAATAGGGGCCGGGCTTGGGTGGATTCTCAAACCCTTCCCCCTCCCCCCCCCTCCACGCTCCATTGCACAGAAGGGGGAAATTAATATTTTTTTGAAAAGGAGCAAAAAGAAAGAAAGGTCAGGGATAGCAAGCAGAGAGAGGGAGCGAGCCGGTTGCCACACACGCCAGGTAAACAAAAGCCAACAAAAAAATGTTCAATTTCGCCTCCTGTGCATCCTCTTTCAGTTTAAAAAAGGGAGAGAGAGAGAGAGAGAGAGAGAGAAGGAAAATATGCAAAATTTAAAAATCAAAACCTACCTCCCAATCACCAACCCCAACACACAGCACACCCCACCCCACCCCCACCCCACCCCACCCCCCACCCCGTGCAAAACAAAACAAAAACAAAAACCAGGAGGGGGAAAGCAGCAGCTGAAGAAAAAGGCTTTCGGCTTTGGCAGCGGCACAGGGGTGTAAACTTCGCGCTGCCTCCCTCCGCCTCTGAGCCTGATCGCAGGCAAAGGGGGAGCTCGCAGATTCCCGGGGAAGAGGACGAGTTCGGACCGGCTGCAGACCGTCGCTGGCAGACGCGTGCAAAAGAGAGAGAGGGAGTAAGGGAGGGAGGGAGGAAAGAAGAGAGAGAGGGAGAGATCGAGGGTGGACGTGGATGGGATGGTGGTGTGTGTGTGTGTGTGAGTGTGAGTGTGCGAGTGAGAGAGAGAGAGAGTGTGTGTGTGTGTGTGTGTGTGTGCTGGTTGGGTTTTGGATTTTTTTTTTTTTTTTTGCTTTTCTCTCTCAAACTCCCTCTCTCTCCCCTTTCATGCTCAATCCCCATCCATTTGCCTGTGCCAAAGCCAGTAAAAAGGGGGGGGGGAGGAAGAGAGAGAGAGAGAGAAGGATCCACCTATTTGGCAGTGAGACATCCTCGAGCAGCCAATGGCTGTGTCCAAGGGGAGGAGGGAACCGGGCGAGCCGGGAGGGTGGGGAGAGCCCCCGGCAGTTGGAGACCAAAAACAATTTGCCCAATCGACAAGTTCACGTCTAATGAACAAGCAAAGTCCAGCAGTTATGAATTTTTCATTCCAGGCTCCCACTCGGGTCCATTGGCAGCAGCCAGCCAGCAAATCTGGGGAGGGGGTGTAGAGCTGGGGAGACTAGGATTGAGGAAGACACGGATTTTTTTTTCCTCTTTTTTTTTTTTTTTTTAAGCCAGAAAAAGAAATAAATAAAGGCCTGGCTCGGGCGGGCGCCCCAGAAGGCCTTGGGGAGAGCAGCTGCGCCTTCTCTGTGTTTTGGTTTCAGTCTCTTTCTCTCAGGCCCTCACACTCTCTTTCTGGTTCTATTTCTTTTTTTATTTATGGAGCGCACAGGGGCGAGTGGAAGTTTTCCTCCCTGGCCATACACGCGAGCCTGCGGTGCTATGAATAGAAAGAGAAGAAAAAGAGCTCGGAAAGTGTCCATGCCAGCCGCACTTCCAGGGCAGGGACCTGGCGCCCAGGGTGCGGCCACCCCTTCCTCCCCGGGCCTGGCTGCCGCTGGCAGGAGCACTCCCAGACCAGACGCCCCCCCACCCACCCCCAGGCCCCCAGCGAGCTCGACCGCCTCCCTCAGCCCACACCCAGCCACGCACGCTCCATTAGCGGTGACGAGGGATGCCAACGCAATGTAGCTCGGCTCGAGAAACTGCAACAGTTTATTAAAATAGCCTCCTGTCACAGCACTCCGCTGACAAGCACTACATGCAGCCACAAACACAACAGCCAATCCCAGGGAGAAGTGACAAAGGCAGGAAGACGGACACTACTTCCGAACAGTGACTGAGTCTTGCGCGAGGCCTCCCCCCAAGCCCCAGACACTCCATTCTTGGCTTTCTCCAGCTTCACCCTCTCCACTTGATCCGTGTTTAGTGTTTCTTGGTTGGAGGAGAAGCAACACTCACCTACCCCCCCACCATTCAATTCCGAAGAAAGGGCCCAAATCCCTACGGAGGAGCAGGGTGCACCAGCCTGCAAAGAAACCCATACGAAAGGGAGAAAGTGAAGGCAGGAAACAGCAAAATGGAAAGGAAAGGGCTCTAGCAGGAAAAGCGGGACAACTTTGGGGAAACCGAGTCACGGGGAAGGGGCCTCCCTCCCAGCCAGGTGGGAGGGTGAGCCTGGGAGAGGGAAGCCTGGGGTGAGTGCCATCTCCATGGGGTTCTCTCTGCCAGGGGCTACTGAGCAGCCTGCTTCGGGCCTTGCAGAAGCTGTAAGGAGGAGACAGTTATTAAAAGAAGGGTAGAGACCTCAGACAGGCCGGGAGAGGCTGGTCCCGAGCTCAGCGCTGCCTCTACAGCTGCCCTCTCCCCAGGCGAGGCTCAGCCCTCAGCTGGCATGGGGAGGGGCAAGAAAAGTCACTGCTCACTCCTGCCCCTATCTTCCCCATCTGAAACCCTGTGCTCTGTGGCCTTTATGCTGGCAGAAAGGTTCCCGGAAGAACACCTGGGGTGTGAAGCAGCCCTGGGCTGGTGTTCAGCCCTGACAATGGGAGAGATGCCGGCCAGCACCTGGGACCCCGGTCTGGGCTCCAGGTCCTGAGTTGAGTGGTCTGAAGTGAGCTCACAGCTGACACCAAGAGAAACAGAGGTGAGCCAGCAGAAGGCAGGTGTCATTGCGGACAGGCCTCTTAGAGTAGCGTTCAATAATTAACATCATGTTAATAACCAGCTTCAGTCCAATTAGCCAAAGATGTTAACTGAGTGACATAAGATACCAAACCCGGCCTCTCCACCTTGAGAGAAGCACTCTTACTTTCTAGAGTGGAGATGAGATGGTAAAAACCAGAAGTGAGTTTATATTCAGCACATGGGTGTTTTTCTGGCATTTTGATTTATACTAAATATTAGACACCAAACAGAAAATGGCCAACATGGGCCTCCTGGAGGATTCTGGCATATTCCGTCTCACAGACCACGGTGCGGGCTGGAAGAGATGCGCTCAGCGTGGGTTGATTCTGAGACCCGTGGTACAACTAGGTGAGTGGTGGGGAGATGGCAGATGGGAGGATCCATGCGGAAGTTAAGGAAACCCGACAAGATCCGGGATTGGCTCTGGGATGGAGGGAAGGGTCAAAGGTCGGGGGAGTGGCAGAGAGATTGGACAGAGAAGCGACCCAGGAGGGCCAGTGGAGTTTCTCAATAGAGCCTCAGGGATCTACACAGAGCACAGTGCGCCCCCTCAAATGCTCCCTGAACAGGAGGAGCAACAGGCCCTTCCCAGGAGAGTAACACGGAAGGAGAACAATCGTCAATTGTCCTTCTCCTGCCAGTTGTCGTAACCTTGAAGGTGGGCAGAGTGGATTCCCAGGGAGCACTCTCCGCTCACCCTGTTCCCACAGGGGCCACTGTCTGGGGTGTGTGGGGGAGTTTTCTGGAAGAGCGGCCTGAGGCCAGGGTATTCCTAAGGCTTGGGAGGGAGGGGAGAAGGTCTCTCTCTCTTCTGTGGGCACACACAGAGAGGACTCACTCAGGTTCCATTAGAAACACTTGGTGTGCCCCTACCGCTGCTGCCTCCTCCTCCATGCCACTGGTGGTGGCTCTAGGCCCTGGACACGCCCCTCAGGAGCCCCAGACAAAAGGGGACTGTCCCCCTTTTGTTAAGAGAGTGGAGGCTCTGTTGGAAGATTACCTGTCCCAGACCCGGCCTCCTTCCCTTCTCCCCTCCCGCCTGGGTTGAGGGCTCAGAGGCTCTGTACCCTGCACACGGACAAGAGCCAAGACAAAAAACCTTCAGACAATTCAAGGCTTCTCCAAGGGCTGAGTCACCCACAAGTGCAAGGGTTCAGGAGATGGAGGAAGCAAGGGGACAGGCAGGCCTCTGAGAAGGAGAGGGGAGGAGGGAAGAGAATGAGAGAAAAAAAAAACAGGGAGAGGGAGCCAGTGATACTGGTGAGAGCAGGGAGCAAAAAAGAAAACCAAATACACTGAGGGGGGGGGAATAAAGTAAAAGCAGACAATTTGAGGGGAAAGGTATTTTCTTCACTTAAAAGAAAAATCAAGAAGCCAGAGATAAGACTTTTAAAATTAACATGGGGTTTCTAGTTTGTGGAAAGGAATTTTTCTGCCTTTGGGAGAGAAAGTCCTCTCTTACTGTCAAGTATATAGAATATGATTTTTTTTAAAGCAACAGTTTTCACTGAAACATTTCAGAAATACTCATGGCAGTTTCAGCCATCACTAGGAATAATGTGCCTCCAAAAGAAAAAAAACTGATCAGACCACAGAAAAAGAGGAAAAGAGCGAGTGAGAGAGAGAGAGAGAGAGAGAGAAAGGAAGAGAAAGAGAAGAAAGCCAAACCTGGAGAGAAAAAGCCAAGTTGGGCCCAAAACTGCAAAGAAAGAAAGGCAAAGATGGAGGGAGAGAAGACAGGACCAAAAAGGAAAAAGAAAAGAAAATTAAGAAAAGGAAAGGAAAGAGAAAAGAAAAGAAAAGAAAGAAGAGGAAAAAAAAAAAAAGAAAACAAGGAACAAGGACAAAAGACAAGGGCTCTGGGTCGGGGCAAAAAAGAAAAACTAGCTAAGGAAAATGACTGCTTCTATCACAAGAAAGTAAAATGTGTGGTTTTCCAAAACTCCACAAAACAAATGAAGTCTTGTGGATTATTTAAGGGAAAATAGGAAAATTCATACAGAATCTCACTCAGTATTCAGAAGTCTTCAAGGAAACAAAATAATTTTCCCAGCTTGAGACAGGTTTTGAAAGCGACCCATACCTACCAACAGTGAAATGTCCAGAAGCGTAAGTTATATCTTTAAAGACAGGGCCACTGTTCCTTATGTTTACAAAAATCCTATTTGTCCACAAACTACTTGCTTTGAGACCCAAATTTATTCTCTCGGACGACCCTGGACACATGCTATACATATAAATATATATATATATATATATAAAAATAAATATGTATATATATATATACATATATATATATTTACGTTATGTATGGCCATGCTAATTTGGATAACTACACACAGTGAGTGCAAATAACTAATAAAACCTTCCTAGGACCAACCAGATATTTCAGTAACCATTTTACTACTGCCTATCTGCAGCCTGGGTGAAAAAGGAAGCAGGAAATTTTAAAAAGCCACAAATAGAGCCCTGATTACTCTGCCCAATTCTTGGGATTTTATAATTCATCCTTGGCCCGAACAGAAAGAGGTCAACATTGTAACCCCAACATCTCCCCTCTCGTCCCACAGAAGAAGGGTCACAAGAAGGCAGAGAAGAAGGCAGTGTCCG